TAAAAATTTTAAAATTTAACATTAAAAGGAAAAATATATGAGGTGTAAAAAGAAAAATTAGGTTTATATTTTAAAAAGGACAATTCCAGTCGAATAGGTTTTGTTAAGATTCAAAATTAGTATTACTTTTTTTAAATAGTTTTATTATACAATTACGATTTAATATTTTTATTTATTTATAGTTATAGTTTCTTTATGATTTTAGGAAAGGAAAATTAGTATTAAATAAATTATTCGTACAACTCGGTTTTGGTATTGGTTTTGCTAAAATTAAAATAACTATTGCCTTTGTAAAAAAAAAATTGTTTTATTATGTTAATTTGTTTTAGTTTATGACCGTTTTAATTATGATTTAAATAATGGAAAATTAGAAAAAAACAGTTTCTTTTACGTTTTCAAATTTGAAAAATGATTTTCCTTAAACTTAAACACATAAAAATAAAATTAATAATATTAAATAGTATTTTACACTTTTTTAGGTTTATATTTTAAAAAGGATAATTACAATTAGGTTTTGGAATAGTTTTAAAAAAAAAAAATTAAAATTACTATGACTTTTTTGAAAAATAATTTAATTTTAATAAATATTATTAAAAATCGTTTTATTATAATAAGATTAAGATTATTTTTTGACATTTTTATTTTTAACAAATCGTTTAATTTTAATAATAATTTTTAAAAAATTTATAAAGGACAATCAGCATAAAATAGTCTTTTCCATCTTTTTCGGTGTATATTTTTAAAAAGGATAATTACAATTTGGTTTTGGAATAGCTTTTTGTTAAAATTAAAATTAATTTGAATTTTTATTAAAATATATTTATTTAGTAAAAAATAATAATAATCTTTTTATTATAAAAATATTTTTTTTTGTTTTGACATTTTATTTTAATAATAACTTAAAAATATTTATAATAAAATAAGATTCTTTATTTTTTTTTGTTTTAACCTTTTTATAATAAGATAAGATTCTTTATTATTTTGTTTTAACTTTTTAATTAGGATTTTAATAAAGGAAAATTGGCATTATAAGGGTAGAAATATTTTAAAGAGGAAAAATATGTTTTTGGGAAATTTGTTAATTAGTAACTTTGAAACCAAGCTTTATATAATAAGATGATACCCTTGATCTTAATTTAGTTGTTTTTAGGCACGGCAATGAGTAGAACATAACTGGAAAACTGAAAGAAAGTTTTTTTCAAGACTCGAAACATATAACTCATTATTTAGAAAGAAAGACTTGGGAAAACCCTTGTTACGTAAGCTTCCACTCTCTATCAAAGCAGCGTAACATTCACTGATTGTTTTAGTCCCTTTGACACATTGTTTGATCTGGAACTAAAGTTGGCTTAGAGCATGTACATCAAGGGTTTATACCCAAGTACACACACTTCCCCAGATTAAAAAAAATATTATAATAATGCACAAGGATGAACTCCAGCTCGCGAAGGTTCATTCTACTGAATCGGTTCATGTCTGTTTTTGCGGGCCCCACGTCTCGCGGCGGCCCGCTATTGGTCCATTTTCTATTTTTTTTTTTTAAAAAGGTCAAACGAAAAAAAAATTAAAATATTAAAATCACGAACCCCACCAGGGGTTCATTGATGCTGCTGCTCTTATATGTCCACGGGAAGTTTTGCCAAAGGTAGACGCCAACATATCCTAAACATTACTGCTGGTCATTGCACTGAAGACACGGTTTGAACCGGAAGAGAAATTTCTGATAAGCGAGCTGTACAGAAGTCGAACTTGACGTACGACACCATGGCACATTTGTTGGGTTTGGTGCCAAAACACCATTGATCATCAAAGTCTGAGCCGGATCAGCATCTGTGGATTCAAGGAAATATTGGAGTTCATGACCCTCATGGAGAGCATGAACCTGCTTGCTCCACATCAACTAATTAAGATTTGTGAGCTTCGTTATAATTAACATGTTGACACATAGGAGAGTGCTTTGTGGATCTTGTATGTTAAAAACAGATGTTCTCTCTGCCATTGAGTCCGGAGAGAATGATTGGTAGAACATTAGCATAAGCATTATGCTCTCCATTATCCAATCAACATTTGTCAAAGAAGCATTTGGATAAGCATTTACCAAATGCTAATGCTCTCCAAATGTTATTTGCTCAATGCTCTCCAATAGAGCTTTTGGTAGAGCATTTGCATTTACAGTATATAAAATTTTTTAAAATAATTATACATAATTAATTTATTGTAGTTTAATAATACAAAAATATTTTAATAATAAAAAATAAATTTATATTTTAAAATAAAATTATAATTAAATATTTTTAAATTATTTAAAAAACAATATTTCACATTTAAAATATAATATAATTTATATAATTACACATATCATTCATTATTTTTAATAACAAGCATAACCTAATATATATTTATATATTATTTTTATAAACATATATATATATTAATTATACATTAATAAATAAATTATATAACATATATTAATTTTTAGGATAATTTTATATATGAATCATTTACTGCTCTATCAATAAATAATAATAGTTTATATATAAATTATATATTATTTATTTATTTATTTAATAAAATTAAATATTTTTATTTCCAAAAATAATTTAATATTATAAAAAAATTTACATTTTTAGATAATTATTTTACATATAAACTATAATATAATTTATATAATGAATAAGATTCATTATTTTTAATAAAAAAATATATTATTAATATATATTATAAATATATAAAATATTTTAATATAAATATTTATTTATATTAAATATTATAATAATTTTTAAAATTGTATACTACTACTGCTCTACCAATCACTTTATTAAAATTTTTACTGAAAGCATACAGCTTCTGCAGAATACATCTTTTACAGCATACATCTGCCGTACCAATCGAGGCCATAGTGAAGATTAAGGACGAGAGAAAATAAAATAGTTGTAGAGAAATAGCGAAGAAGAAGAGAGAAGCAAGACTGCTGAAAAAAATCTTGGGTTATACCCTAACCTGCTCTGATACCAAATTACAATATGTAATTGCTTACTTTATTCATATGTGAAGAACACGTTTAGATACATAAATGAAGAAGACAAAATGAGAAAGTACACGATCGAGTAATGGGAGAATATACTAAGTTATAAAAATTCTTAAACTAATGTGATATTGAGTCTTAAGTGAATATATTGTTTCTATATTCTCAAAACCAGAAAGCACAAGACCTCTTTACAAACAGATGAAGCTTCTTTGAGTCCCACATGAAACTAGAATCAAATTATGTTCATTCGTATGCTAACTTGACATGGCTGATTCAAATTCAGCTTGATTAGTGAAGCTGGCAAACTTTGAACAGACAGATATAGATACAAGATAGGATTAGTTAGCACAAAAACATACAAGAGATACCTGAGAGAGATGTATATATGACGGAAATAAAGCCATGACATGAAGAAACTAACACCAAAAACACAGATTCTCACAATTAGAGTGGTATAACAATACATCAAAAGAGATTTATTTATGGCATTACAATGGTAATTTATAACATGATGGAGAGGGCATAGTAGATATCATCAGTTAACTAATGATTATATTAAGCACAAGAGCGAAAGATCCTCTTGAACCAGTCATGTCTGTGTGAATTTAGAATATGGCCGATGAGGAATCCACATAATACACCAGGTCCGTAGGCTATTCCAGCTGCTATCCAGCTCAATATTTGATCTTTTTCTTCATCTTCTTGATCTTGCTTTCTTGTGTCTTCTCCTCCACTGCAAGTTTTTTGGAGAGGAGCACCGCATAGCCCAGGATTATGTAAGAATGAAGAACTATCCTGGCTTTGAATCTGTGTGCCTTGTGGTATTGGACCTTCCAGCATGTTGTTAGAGAAGTTCATCCACGCCAGAAACGTGAGTTTCCCGAGCTCCGGTGGGATATTTCCGGATAATCTGTTTTTAGATAGATCTAGTGATTGGAGATTGGTCAAGTTCGACAAAGATGGTGGAATATGGCCTATGAAAGCGTTGTTTGACATGTTGAGCACATTCAGTTCCTTGAGTAAACCGATGGATTTGGAGATTTCTCCTTCAAATCTGTTTCCTGAAACATCAATGATTCTGTAGATACTGAAAGGAATACCAATCAACTCCATCTTTGTACCCTTGTTGGCCAGAACCACTGACTTACGATAGTTTGAAAAGTCAATCCCAATAAACCTTTGCTGCTTATTGTCTGCAATGTATACACCCGATGACATTTTACTCCAACCAGAAAAGTAATCCGATGGCAAGACTCCAGTGAAGAGATTTTGAGAAATGTCAAAGATTTGCAGCTTGGGGAAACTCAAAGAACCCCTTGGAGAATGTATTGGCCCATGGAAATGATTAGAACGAAGGACAAGAAACTGCAACTCTGGCAACAGCCTCAACCCAAAAGGAAATGAGCCACTCAACTTGTTGCCTTGGACGTTCAAAAATTTGAGACGAGTGCAGTTGATCAGAGACTTGGGAAGTTCTCCTGATAATTGGTTCTCGCTAACATCTAGTGAAGTCAAACCAACATTGACAAACTCCTCCGGAATGTTACCAGAGAGGTTGTTGTTTTGAAGATGCAAGAGCGAAAGTTTAGTACCGAAATTTTCGGAACACCGAGGCATAGAACCGCTGAAGTTGTTGTTGGATAAAACAAGTGTTTCAAGAGAAACCAGCTGGCAGATAGTCGTCGGAATCTCACCAGAAAACTGATTGTCGGAGGCCGAAAAAAACGTCATAGATTTTGGTAACAAAGGAAATGGATCTTGAAAGTTGTTTGAACTTATATCAAGCATATGTACTGCATTACTTTGAATAACATCCGCTGGTCCATCAAAGCCACTGAATGAATTCCGAGAAAAGTCTGCATACCCCAGTCCTGGCAGTCTCCATAACCACTTTGGCACCTTCCCTTTAATTTGATTGTTAGAAATGTCTAAATAAAGCAAACTGGTTTGCGTTTGTAAGAACATGGGAAATTCAGAAATATTGCAGCCTGCTAGAGCCAATGATACAATGGGTGAGGGAAGATGGAGAGTTGAGCTGATCTTCACAGTATTTCGTGAAAGACTTAGTAAGCTAAGTGACATGAAATGTGAGAAGAGACTCATGTCAACCGTACTTCTTGTATTAAGAGTGGAGATGTCAAGGACCGTAAGAGACTTGAGATGCAAGAAGATGCTGAAATCAACCACGCCCCCCAATGTGTCCCAAAAAGAGAGGTCGAGAGACAAGAGCCCGAATAGTTTTGATATATATTCTCCCGGGATTGGTCCACCGAGATTGTTTCCTCCAAGGCTTAAGGTTTGAAGTTTTGATGGTGATGAGATATTCCCAATCTCAAGGTGACCGTTGAAGTGATTCCTTTCCAGGTTAAGGTGGATCAACGAAGGGATCATGAAAAGAGACGAAGGAACAAATCCAGAAATTGAATTTGAACCAATATTAAAGTACTCCAGTTTGGAGAGGCTACTCATGTTAGATGGGAGCGTACCTTCGAGCTGGTTGGAATTAAGGTTGATCGTAGTGAGCGCGCTCAAATTGAGTATCACATGAGGAAACTTCCCACTGAGCTTGCTCGATGAAATTATCAACTTTGTTAGTTTCTTTAGGTTGCCTATCGAATCTGGTAGTTCATCGGTGAAGTCATTACCATCAAGATCAAGATGAGTGAGGTGAGAAAGATTCCCAAGCGAAGAAGGAATCTTTCCAAAGAAATTGCATCCAAAAAGTCTCAAAACCCTCAAGTTTCTGAGGTTGCCAATAGAATCAGGTAGAATACCGGAAAGATCATTGGTGCTAAGATCGAGGCTCTGAAGATGTTCTAGTCTAAACAGACCACTACTAGATCTTAAAGGGCCATTGAGATAACTGCCCAAGAGATTTAACTCAACAACATTGCCCGTCTTAGGATCACAAGAGATACCATTCCAAGAACAGCAATCAGTGTTGTTCATCCACCTTGTCTTCTCATTAGCAGCCATCCCACTAAGATGGAACTCGCTCTTGAACTCCAAAAGAGCATCCCTCTGGTCTTGACGGCACTGGTGCGTAGCACGAGAAGAAACGCAAACAAGTATTGAGTAAGAAAGATAAAATATTAAACACAAGCTCCATACTATAATCTTCCTCTCACGACAACAACGCATTGTGCTTTTTTGTGCTTTGTTAATTTTTCTGTGTTTTTTGGTGTTTTCTTTTTGTTTCTTTTTCAGTGAGAGGAGAGAAATAAATAAATGCTTGACTTAACAAGTCTTGTATGAAGACTTTTTTTCTGTTTTAGAACTAATAAAAGTCTTCTGTGGAAAATTAAATGATGATGTATGGTCCACAAAGTATACGACAATGAATAATCATGAGTGATTTAACAAGTTACCAATAGAATCTGGTAGAATACCATAACGATGAATGGTCCACCAACGTATTTTTCTGCCGTGCGATGTGGGTCAATCAATTCTCGAACTCTCTGTAGGCTGTGAAGATTTCTTTGGTCTGCGTATATTGTTCTATTCCCGCTTTTAACGGGTGGCCGGTAGAGTGTGACAGTAAAATTGACGAAGACCTCTACACGGAAACAAGTCTTTGCTCTTGTGAAATTAACTTTTAAATCTACTCTATTAAATAGAGTCATTCTTTTTATCTACTGATATAAGTTGTCATTTAAATTTGGACCCTTTCTAAAATGTTATAATTAATAGAAGTCATATAATCGATTGAACCGTATTACTTAAATTAAACCAACACAATTTATGTAAAGAGACGACTTTAATGTAAATTACCTTCAAAATATGGCAGGTATCTATGTGTATACTAAAAACACATATTTTCTCCTACAAATATGGAATATTCTAAAAGAATATATATCATCAAAATATAGAATATGGAAATCTACTAATTATACTTAAATTAAACCTGTGGTTATTTATGGAATATAGTCTTGGGCTTACTTTTATTTTTTGAACAAATTATATAGTTTGGTTTTTGGGCTTAGTATTAAGAAAAGACTCTAAAAACATTGAATAAACTTTTCACCTTAAAAGATCAAAAAATCAATTATTATTTTCAGACCCAAAAGGTATTTAATATTTTTAACAAAAAAAATTATCTATTATTAATCATTTATTTAAATCATGTACTTTAAAACATGTTAATATATTTTTTTTATTTTAAATAACAATCACTTTGTTTTGATAAATTTTAATAGTAACTTATAAATAATTTATTGTTTTATTTTTCTTAAATAATTTACTGGTTAAAAAAATGTAAAGCAAAACTAAAAATCAAATCTAAAAACTAAAATCCAAAACCAAAAGCTGAAAACACATGTTATATTTTTTTGCTTTGTTTATTTGCAACATAAACTATTTCAATTTTTTTTTTTAAATTTGTTGTCATATTTTCAGTTTTGAATTAGATGTTCGATTATTTGAGATTTGTTTGTTGATAATATTAGTTAAAACTAACTCAGCGGGTTTAAAAATTAAAAACCCAAACCAAAAACTGAAAATGAAAATGAAAAATAGAAACTTAAAAACTAAAAACAAAAATCTAAAAATAAAAATTAAAACTAAAAACTAATGAAAAATAATCATCACCACAAATTTTGGTGAACAAATTTTATATCAAAATATTCTTTAAACTAAGACAAAACCCAATTATATAAATTTTTAATCATAAAAAAATTCTACGCTTTCAAGCGTGGGTCAAAATCTAGTTATTTATTAAATCAACAGTTTTAAGGAGAGGGAGCTCTATCATTGGACCTAAAAATCAGATTCGTTGTTGTATTGACTAATTTTCTGAAAATTGACATGTTCGTATGGAACCTGTTTTAGTCAACAAGCATTAAAGTAGACTATTCTCACATACACAAACTCAGGGGCCTACTCACCCTTGTTGGAAAAAGGCAGCAGCCTTATGGCGCCAATTTTCAATTAAAATTTAGGGCCCCATTTTTGCTACATATACATCCACTTAAGTTTTTATGGAATGCACAATAATAAGTTTTTATGAAATATTGTTAGAAGAAATTATGTTCATGTATGTATTCCACAATATATTATGTTCATGGTAAATTTGTTAAAAAACGCACATTTTCTCTCTCAACTAACGCCGTCGTCCCTTGCAGAAACCCTAGTGTGGAGGTGACGCTCCCGACTCCGGTGACTTTATCGGTGTTGGAGGTAGCTCCATGTTCTTCTCTTTCTCTCGTTTTAATTTGCCCACTCGGTGGTTTTCTTACTCCATGGCGAGATGCTTGCGGTTTCTGGTTTCATCAGAGGTCCCTAGTGATTGCTTTGTCTCGGTGGTGCAAGCTCTAGTCATGCCTAAGGTGGATCTGGAGCAGCGACGAGTCATGTGAGGAGGAGGTCTCGGGTCGGGTCGGCTGTTAGGGTTTAGCTGTCCGAGTTTGCCGAACCGTTTTCTCGGGGTTTCGTTGACTCATTGCAGTGGCGAGTGGTTGCTGTTAGTCATCTTGTTCTAGATCTGTAAGCTGGTCAACTACGGCGGTTTGATTTTCAGATCTGTATTGAGAAGTGTGAGCGGTGGTTGTTATAGCTAACCTTGGCTCTCTTGTCTCTCCCGATCCAGTCTTGTTTTGGAGTTTAGTTTTATATGCAGTACGGTTCGTAGGTGTATTTGGAGGTTGATTGTTTCTGTTGCAATTTTCTCTTCATGTTGTGGTGGTAGCATTGATCTCTCGTTGATTTGGGTTGGTGCTAATTGTAATTGTATTGGGGCTCGATCGATGAGACTCTTTTGTTTGAAGGTTTATGGTGGACCTCTATTTAGGTGGAAAGTGGGCGTGTATCCGAGAGCTGTGTGGATCGTGAAGTGGTTCTGCCTCGTCGGGTTATGAAGTCTTGGGTTACTAGTTGGGGATGGTATCGTTTTGCAGGCCATAGACGGCAGTGATAGATCCGGAGAGAGAAGACTTGATGTGTTGGGTTCTGAAAGTGGAGTGTATCATATAGCGGGCTGAGAGCAGCTTCGCTATATCCAGATTTCTGCTCTTAGTTTTATGTGAAGGTGTTTTGCACTGTATTGTCTTATGTCTTTCTGTAATTGGGTTTATTTTACTATGTTTTAGTGATGGTTTTCTATTTTCAGTGTGTTGTTGTGGCTGTGTTATGGCCGTAAGTTTCCCCAAGTGTGTGTTTTAGTTGCCTTTTCTTGGGCTTTTGGTTATGGGGATTTCATGCTATCCGCCAGCTTTTGTATTGTGTTCGTTAGTTGCCTTGATGTGAATTCAAACTGCCTCTGCGTGGGTTCTAGTCGCCGCTTTTAATGGGCTCTTGGTTCTGGGGCTATTTTGTTTTACCTCAGCGTTTGTATGAATATTGGTAATTTGCTTATGAATGAATTTCATTTTGATGAAAATTAAAAAAAAAAAAAAAGTATTATGTTCATGGTACTTTATAGAGAATTCAGCAATTCTCAAGAGACTCATTCACTCTACGTTTGGTGGGTGATTCAACTAGAGATAATTATACTCTCAAATAACTTCTCTGAATCCAAAGAGGCCCTACCAATTGTGAAGTTGTTATCCTTTGACTGGTAGAAGATTAAAAAGTAGAGATTTTTGTGGTTTTTTGTATAAAGTGTACTTTCAATAAGCGCAAATTATTTCAAGAATCTCCAAACTATCATCATTCCTATGTTTGGGCAGTCTAGACTTTTGATATGTTCTCTATATTAGACACAAAGTGTCCCACATCGATAGTTAAAATAGATTTTTAGTAATATATAAGATAGATGGACCACTCCATTTATCAGCAATTAATTTGAGGTTAGAAATTCATCTAGCTTAATATGGTATCAGAGCCCACGATCCACGCAGTCCAACCCTGATCCATTATCGATTCGGGCCCAAAGTTGGCTCATCGATCCTTGTCCAAACATTCCGAGATTAACGCTCAGAGAGCCATCTTCTCGAGGGGGTGTATTAAACACAAAGTGTCCCACATCAGTAGTTGGAATGGATATTTAATAATATATAAGATAGATGAACCACTCCACTTATAATCAACTGGTTTTATGTTAGAAGTCCATCTAGCTTGATATCCTATTCATACAATAACATGTAGTTTTGGTGGTTTTTTATGTAATGACATTATGACAATATGCAGTTTTTGTAAGATCCGTTATTAGTGATTTGGTGATATTAAGAGAACGTTGTTATTTTTCTCATTCATTTCAGATATTTTCCCATGAGAGCTCATATTAGAGAACTCTTGGCAAAATCAAACTGAGCCATAAACTTTTAATATGAGACAGAGACAAATAAAAATTGATCTACAGACTAAACAAATCTTGAGTGAGTAAACTGAAGACCTGGTAACAAAGAGAAAAATTAACCCTTAATTGATATACACAGATTGTCATACGCGGCACCGAGCATTGGAAGAATGTGAACCACACAGCAGTTGAAGAAAAAAAGATAATCATGACTCCAAAGACTCGTTTATCTTTGTTTCGTTTCTAGCTCAATTGCTTCTAGCTTGCAGGTTAAGTTTCACTGCTCACTCTCCTCATATATTGTTAACAGTTGGAGATTTATAATGACCCGATGCTCACTATCCTCTGATGTTGCTACGATTTTAGGTTTGGTCATTTCCTAATTTATCACGGCCGATTCTAAACAGGTCAAATCGATAATAATCAATGATGGGCATACAAAATACAACTAAACCCGAACAGAATATTTTTAGTATTAGAGGACACCTAAGATATTTCAGAAAGACAAAAAGGAGATTGTTGTCACGCCTTGCTTTTATATGACTTTTTTACTTTGACATGCTCAACTGTTCCTCCACAAAGTTAACATCAGAGCTTTCTTTGTTGGGGTGTCATATAATCAAAAGAACTCTGTCTTCCTCTTTGGACTGTTCGTCATTCTTCTTTATCCCCTGAGATTGAGTCATAGGAGTCAACACCACATACATTGAGTTTGGAGATGATGAAGCTGCTGCCACTTTTCCATCTCAATAAGTGATATAAATGATTCCCAAATAAGTATATGATTAGAAGTCTTGAAACAACATTTATCATGACATCTATATATATACATATATATATATACATATATATATATATATATATATATATCCCAAAGAGAAATAATTCAACTTTTGTTATGTGGGAGACAAATGATGCTCGATAGTTCTTATAAAGAACTTTCTGTTAAACATTTAAACAATAT